TCACCTAAATCAGACCAGCCCTGCTTCTCCTGTATATTCTGCTCTATCCACATTATGTGCCTCCCCTGACACATTTTTTAAAAACCAAAAAGAGCCTATTGGTTTCGCTGACATTCAGGATGACATGTGGTCAATCCTCCCTGTCACTCCACAGCCTGATACACTCTCCTGTTCTAATACTCCTAAATATAGTCCGAACAGCCCTGCTTCTCTGGAGAATTCCTCTCCATCTAAATTGCTGGACTCCTCTGTTGCGCCCACTGAATGCCAACCAACGCCTCCCTTCTTCAGCGAAACTGTAAAAAATATGATGGCGCTACTTAACGACCTCGAACCTGGGCCCTTTGCACAGCCTCTACAGCCCTCCTCTCCTCAAGCTGACTGGTCCTCACCAGAATCAGATCAGTCCTGCACCCCCCAAACCACGGCTACCTTCATAAACTCTATTGAAGAAGGTCTTAGCTCACTGCTTAATTAGCTTGACGTTCCACCCTTTTCTGCAGAGCCTCAACAGCCCTGCAGCTCTCATACAAAAAAAACGTTCCTCTACCATTTCAGTCTTTCCTCTGTTTCACAACTGCTTGCCAGAGATCTCTCCACAGGCGTGTGTGTTTGTGTGTATGTGTGCACGTGTGTACTGATAGTCCTTGTTTTGGTACCTGATCAAAAAGTCAGCTCTTGAGTCTGCTTTTGGGTCAACCTCTCATATGAACCCTCTGGGTTTGTCACATATAAACCCTTTTAAATGGAACCCGTAAGGCTGCCATTCCCTGGTGGTATGTGGTCTCACACACTGAGGCAAGGAGAGGCCTTTGGTACTTGCTAGGGAAATGGCCTCCAAAATCCAATGGCAGGGCTTCTGTTTATGTAAAGCTTTATACCTGGCTGTCAGCAAAGCAGACAAACATCCTGAATCTGTTTAATGAAACTATGTGGCACATCACAGGACACAGGGACTTCACAGGGTTAATTCCATTTGTAAAAGAGCACTGGAAAGAGAAAACACACCTACACTTGCCATTCATAGTCACACACACACCCCTTGTAGATTAAGCCCTCACAGTTTTGATCATTGCCACCATAGTTGAAAGCAAACCTTTAACTGAGCTGTCCTTCAAGAGGCAAGACAACACTGCACCAAAACAACAGAGAGCGAGGCAGCTTTAACAGGGGATGGGAGCATGTCCTGACCTGCATGTTTATGCAAGAAACCACTGTTGTAACACCGGTGCTGACCAGGACATGCTGGACCAGAACAGGACAAAAGGGCTCGAGAGGTATAAAAGCAGGTAGCAGCTCCAAATACATGATGTACATCTTGCACTGGGGGCCAACCCCTCTCATCGATGTGCAACCACATAGAGTCCCCCAGCCATTTAGTGGCATACATCACAAGACTGATCCTGAAAGCCTCGTTTGTGTCATGTTTTCTTCATGGCTCAC